GTCCTGAACTTACAGTTACAAGTTCAAAAACTAAGGACAATAGGTCCTGAAGTCCTGAACTTAGACTAACAAGTTTAAAAGTTAAGGACAATAGGTCCTGAACTTAGGCTAAGAAGCCCAAAAGTTAAGGACAATAGGTCTTGAACTTAGACTAACAAGCTCAAAAGTTAAGGACACTTGGTCCTGAACTTACAGTTACAAGTTCAAAAGTTAAGGACATGTAGTCCTGAAGTCCTGAACTTAGAGTTCCAAGTTCAAAAGTTAAGGACATGTAGTCCTGAAGTTAAGTTCAAAAGTTAAGGACATGAGCAGAAGGGTATTTTCGTCCGGACAGTTAAAGTTTATTAAAGTAGTGGCTAAAGACTAAATACATTTTAAACAGTGGCTTAAAAGTAAATACATGTGTTATTAATGGCTAACCGTGCACTTTCCCCTAATTTTTGCGGCTGAAAATCACCTTACTCTACTTCCCAAGGACCCCCTCCCCAACTAATCTCTCATCTTTCCTGACTCCATCTCCTCCATTAAAGTTTTTTCCGCCACTAAATCATCATTGCCACCACTTGTCACAACTAATGTCGTAATAATAGTGGCGGGTCCAGAATTTTATGCAAGCGGGTTCAATCTTAATAGTACATAACTTTAGTCGTAAAATAGTAGTTATCAAGTGGGTTCAAATAAAATATTTATATAAAATTTACGTTGTTTTAATCGTAATTTATACATATACACAGTATTATTTTTTGGTAAAGCCACTGCATAGAAACCATCACCACCAACATTAAGTTTAAGCATAAAACACACAAACACCATAACTCCCTTTCTTCACAACCATTCAAAAAATATTACGCAAGAAATTCGGGGAAGTGCAGATATAGTCAATCGAGGATAACCAGCCGGGTTGACTATTTACTTACCATTATTTACTTTTCCTAGTCGGTATACATAGATTATATATTAAATTTATATATATTGTGCATTCACCAACTACTTTTAGCTTAAGTGATTGGATAGACAATTATTTGGGTTAATTCTTCTATTCGATTTGGAACCACCATTTAAGCCGGAGCCTAAGTTTATAAATTTTTGTAAGTTTAGTCACTTCGGAATCCAATATAAGTTGCAAAAATTTGTGTTTGAAGTTTTACCTAAAGTTTGACATATTACTTGTGCAAGTAAACTTCCGAGAATCGTGCATGAGAAGTCTTTGCGTATTGATAGCAAATACAGAAAGTACCCATAGAAAGAATGATAGGTCAAAATGGTATTATCTTTAAATGAAATTGGGTAATTTTCGACCAACTTCAGCATATTCTAACATGAATGATATTTTAGGAAATAAAGTAAAAATTGAGTAACTTTATGGTTAGAAAAATAAATTTAGCGATTTCACTGCAATTATATTATAATTTGAGTGACCTTCTTTGTACTTGATACTTGAAAAATTGAAAAGTCATTCCATATCCATACCATATCAATGAAGGTTATTACTTGTTCTAAGATAATTACTGACTTCAACTCAATTCATAGGATACTTTATTCTATTTTCTAAAATGGTAACCAATTCAGAATTATTCAAGGAACATGAACTGGCATCTTGTGCGTCTGCTCTGCACCAGGCCCATAGACATGAGCCAGGAATTTAGTATGGCAAACTGGTGGTGGGTACCAATGAGATCATGCAGAGGCAGAGGCGAACCCAGAAGGTGAAGGTGGCGGGAACATGAAACCAATACATATACAGTATATATATATAGGAACTTCTATCGAGGTTAACAGGGTATGGTGACCCCTCGAATGAAGCGAAACATCCCATGAATGTATGTCAGCGACTTCTTCAGTCTGCTTCTTCTTCCAGCACACTTAACACTCTGCTGATTCGAATCTTAAACCCCCATAACCCCTTTGTTTTCATAATGAATTATTATTATATATTACTTATGTCCAGAAGACGTATTATAGGAGACAATTATTATTTATATCCATAGAAAGTAGTACACGCTCATATATCATTACCTTGGATTGCTCTCTTTTTACTTTGGACTATTTTCATTACTTAAATCTACAAAAAGTAATATACACTCATTTACCTATATCAGTACAAAGCAATTTCCGTCTCTTGAGCCAGTTAATTGGGTAAACACTTCATAAAATTTTGCTTGACCAACATTTCCAGTTATATATTTTGAACACGAGTACTAGTAACAAAGTTTACCTGATACTGATAGATGGAGCTCATTCCAAATTCTTTGGGCTACACAAAAATTTTGAATTGCTCTAGACTGGGTGGCTCATTGCATCGATTGTCCATTTCTCCTATATTGGATTCCCAGCTCTCTGAAAACATGTCCAACGTTCCTTATGGATCCTCCAACTCCAACCAAAGTTGAATTTCTTACTTCCACATACTCCTTATAAAGCCATGCAGAGTGACATTTTTTTTTTTAAAAAAAAAAAAAAAAGATATCGAGAGAAAGTCTTAGCCCTTAAAATGCATTGCGAAGAGAGATCCAAGACGAAGATTTTCTGACACAGTGCAGGCACGGGAATGAAAAGACAGATAAAGGAACAACCCACCGGATGGGCATATACCTCTCTTCAATTATTGTTGGGATGGGAGGTAGGTCTTGCTTCATATTTATACACCTATAACCCCAATACTGACTCTAAAACTATATGATATGGATATTAAGAAAAAGAACAGAGGTATGCAAACCAGAAGCTTCAAGCAGCTAGCTAAAATGGAAACACACAAGTGTGTATATCCACTCTCAAGTATACTGTGGCAAGAAAGGGGCTTTGCAGAATACACATACAAGAACAGCAAAAATGTTGAACTTTAATTTTCATTCATTGTTACCCTTTTACCATATCAATTGTGAGTATCAACAGCTCCATAAGATTCAGTGGGAACAAGTCACTGGAGCTACCACTTTCATATTCACATTATAAAACTGTATATGGGAGCCTTCAGTCCAGAGCCATCTAAAACTGTATGTAACATGACTATGCCTACATACAGAGTCAAATATATCATTCTCATAAAGTTAAGCCTTGGGAATTTATGTCACAAATTCTACAGTCCTTGTTTTGAAAAGGATGCTATCCAATTAAAAGACCAAAACAGATGAAAGGGCCAGTCTTCGAAAAAAAACCGGGCAGTATAAAACATCAGGAATGGAGGAGGAAAAGATGTTGTGAAACTGAAAATACACAGTTATAAGTTTAAGAAAGCAGAAGTTTTGCACATCTTACTGGAGGGTTGAGACCAAATTATGGGAAGAATCAGAAATTTATTATAATTCAACCTTGTAAAGGATCTGAAAGCCATTTAACTGAAGGTGTGGCCATTGGAACCATGGGAGACCAGAAAAAAGAACTATATGACTCTTCCCATCTGTATAAGCCTTAATGGATAGAGCTACCCGATACATGTACTAACAAAAGGATGCAAGTATACTGTGGAATAGTCGAGGTGTGTGTAAAGTGTCCCTGACACCAATATTATCCAAAAAAAAGAAGAGATCTAAAAGAATGGTACAGCCAACAAGACTGAGTGACTTAGTCATGAAAACTAAAAAGGTTGTCCCAGCGGCAGCTAATTCTATATAATTTTTAAATTAATGAAAGCTTCAGCTGAACTGCTGATTCATTTATTCAAGGGAAAAGGAAGGATGTGCAGGATGGCTTTATAGAAAGGGAAAATATCCCAACTTCATGTTCATCCAGAAATTGGTCGTTTGAGCGTTTAAGAAATCACCAATAAAACTTCTGCAGTGTTTCCTTTAATCTTTATAATTAGTTAGAAGTCAACACGGACTAAATAGAATTACAGATAAACTAAATTTTCAGACTGACAGAATCCTCAATTTCACTGCTGAATAGACGGTCATAGACACAAAAGAAGTGCATAATTCCTTTCACACTTGCTCTTTACGAAATGACTCTCTACTGTACTCGCTTAACTTAGTTGATGCAACTCATAACCAAGGTATTCCAGAAGCAAGCAGTTAGTACATACAAAAGTTAATAGCAAGACTTCTAACTGTTGCTGTCGTTCTAGGATGCTCTAATAGTTTTACCATTTTCAATTCAGGCACAGAGGGCCATCCAAATAGAGCAACGAAGTTTATATGTGTTGTGGAAGTTAATCAAGTTGAAGAAACAGAAATCAGCTGAGTAGAATTACTTCAAAAGAAATACCAAGACTAGTCAGGTCTTCATATACAACGTTAAAAAACTGGTTTCATGCACTGCCACAATTCTTACAGCTGGTTTTCTTTGACCAGATTAATATTTAAAAGAAGGTGCTAATAAAGAAGACACTGAACAATGCACAGCACAGATGTCAATATGTGTTCAACATGTCGCAAAAGAAATTGAAATGACATATAAGTCAACTTCGTAAATGACTTCAGAAACAGAAGCAACTTTTGGTGGAAATGAATTTACTGAACATCTTCAATGAAATCTCAGATATGGACATCAAAATATATGACTCTGGAGAGGCCCAGAGGGTAAGACTTCATTGACGAGAAATGAGTCTCGAACTTTATATGAACGCTGAAAATCCAAGTGCCAACATTAAAGTAGACCCAAACAAAAAAGAGAGGAAAACCCACCTTAAGGGCTACAGTAATATGATGTTTCTGACAAACTTGAGATAAGCCCATTTGATGAGAATCAGATATGAATCCATGGTTTATAGCCACAGCAATTCTGCAACAAATCCACAAAGTTATTGTGTCTCCAACAAAAGAATATGATCTATATAGTTAAGGCATTATCGAATCTTATGCATCAGTTCAAAATCCGAAAGAACAGTAGGACTCAGGGAACCAACTCAATTTTCATGGATCAAATCACAGAAAACAAAGACACCTAAATGAAGACAAAATTCAAAACAACAACCATTACGTCCTTATTTTCCTAGTATAACTGTATAATTTGTATTCAAAACGCACATATGCACCAATATATAAGAGGAAATAGGCATCAGATAGTTCAGAAATTTGCAATATATATTACTGATTTACATTTAAAGAGTGTCGATATCAAAGTGCATTAGCTTTTCAGCAGCTCTGTTGTACATCTTCAACAGAAACAGCAGTTTCAGTCTGCTGTCAATTTTCAGTTGTGATACAAAGTTGTATTGAACACTTGCACTAAAGTATGATCACTAGTTCATAAACAGCACTGAGTTCACCAATAACGCAAGGACGGTCACCTATCTATTATAGAAAGACAACCTAAAAGTTAAAATCGTGTCCTCACTCAGCCATGTAGAACATCACTACCCCATCATTCAGTGCTCAGCAATTGAAAGACGGTGTTGTCCATAAGTTCTTCCATTCCCCTGCAAATGTCCACAGGCACATTCGGCACTCAGGCAAAGGAAGCAAAACCGGGAATCCTCAAAACTGAATTGATCTAGCGGAACCATCAAACCCTTGGGTTTAACATTTAATACAGGTTTTCACATGATTAGGACAACAAATATGTACCATAACTCATTCCAATCAGTCATCACTCTCATTGAGGCGATTAATGGCAGGAACTCGTTGCTTCCTCTTGCTTTTTGTTGAGAATCTTGCTGCAGATACACTCAGGAGTTTATTGAGCGACATGCCTTCACCTAAGATTTTTTTCTTCTCCTCGTACCTGTGTTTAATCCTTCCGTCAAGCTTGTACCCAAGAAATGCAGGAAAAGCCAATAGTTCCCCAACTTCACGACCCATCTCCTCAACCAAGTAGTCCAACTTCTCCTCCAATGACTCATGATTGTACTGTAATACCTGCGGATGCTTCATGCTCATCTCCAGAATGTCATCAAAAGTCAAGCCGTAGTTCAAAAATACCCCAATAAGCTCTTGCATATTTTTGCAGCTAGTCCTGGTAACAGCTCCCATTGCCATTGCCAATTCCTTGGTATTATTCTTATATCCAATCTTCACCAAAAAGACCAGCTTG